GGGGTGCCCACCGCCACCACACGGCCACCAGGCTCTGGCCGGGGTCCGAGGGCTGTGGGTGGGGCCTGCTCGGATGACATTTAGGGGAAATGGCACCGCTGGCCCTAGAGCAAGCATGTCAAACTCAAAGGCTAACACGGGCCAAATAAATGAGGCATGCGGCCCGCGGGCTGCGAGTTTGACGTGTTTGTCCTAGAGCAGCGGTTCTCAACCTGTGGGTCACGACCCCTTTGGCGGTTGAACGACCCTTTCACAGGGGTCGCCTAAGATATTTACATGACGATTCATAACAGTAGCAACATTGCAGTTATGAAGTAGCAACGAAAATAATTTTATGGTTGGGTCACAACATGAGGAACTGTATGTAAAGGGCCAGAAGGTTGAGAACCACTCCCCTAGAGTGACCAGCCTCGCTCTCCTGCAGGTTCAAGTACGTGATTGGCATCGGAGTGGGAGCCGGAGCCTATGTGCTGGCCAAGTTTGCAGTGAGTTTCCCCTGCACCCTCCACCCCCACCCCCAGGGCTGGCCTTCCGGGGGCGGCCCTTCAGCCACAGTGACTTTCCTGCTCTTTCTTCCTTCTCCTCCTCCTCCTCTCCCCACTTCCTCTTCACTTGGAAAAGCCTTCTTTCCCCTTAGTCCCTAAGGACACTGTTTTTTAAGGTTACTTTTTCACCCTGGCTGGTTTCTCAGTGGTTAGAGCATCAGCCCTCGGACTGAAGGGTCTTGGGTTTGATTCCCTGTCAAGGGCATGTACCTCCATTGCAGGTTCAATCCCTGGCCCTGGTCGGGGCTCGTGCAGGGAGGCAACCAGTCTCTCTCTCTCTCTCTCTCTCTCTCTCTCTCGCTCTCTTTCTCTTTCTCTCCCTCTCTTCTACTCTCTCTAGAAATCAATGGAAAAAAATATCCTGGGGTGAGGATTAAAAAAATAAAGGTTACTTTATCCATACATTTCCTCGAGTATAAACTATAACTTGCTTAACTATTATCTAAAGCCAAAATTTCTATTATCAGCAAACTACACAACTAATTGCTCTAGCCACAAAATAAGGATTATCCTAACCACTCATCCACCAATTAGGGTAATATTTAAACATTTAAACCAGCCCGGTTTTAACCAAAAACGACACTTACGTTCAGTTACGAGGTTTTAATGAAAGTCACATTTCAGAAACATCGTGTCCGGCAGGAGCCACAGGCTTTTCTTCCTTAAAAACAAAAACTTCATTTTTCAGGACCCAAAGGATTTCTTTCTTCCAAAGAAATGACCAAGAATTTTCAACTCTCCTTTCAATTCCAACACGTACACATTTTGTTAACTGTAGACCAGGCCCCGCCACCCCACCCTGGACATCACATGAGCACTGTATGCAGATGGCCCCCTAAACACGGGCAAACGGTGCGACCGAAAATGTGGGTCCCACGTCCAACAAAACAGGCTTTGGTTCCCTGTGATCAACATCACGAGGGCTTCCTTGTCTGTAACCGCAAAGAAACAAGATGTTTTACTGAAGATGTTTCATCCTCAGTTTTGCAATAGCAGCCTTTCCAACGATATATTAAAAGGGGTGAAAAACAGTGATACAGCCCAGCCGGCGTGGCTCAGTGGTTGAAAGCCCTCGACCTATGAACCAGGAGGTCACAGTTTGATTCCCAGACAGGGCACATGCCTCTGTTATGGACTTGATCCCCAGTAGGGGGCGTGCAGGAGGGGGTTGATCCGTGATTCTCTCTCATCATTGGTTTCTCTCTCTATCTCTCCCTCTCCCTTCCTCTCTGAAATCAATAAAAATAGACTTAAAAAAAAAAACACACACAGTGATGTAGGCATAGATTCAAAATAAATCCACGAATTTTGAAAGCTCCCAGGAGGGCAGGCTGAGCCGGGCAGCAGCTGGCAGTGGAGCCACGCAGATCCCCAGCTGTCAGGGTTGGGTCATTGGTGGCATCTTGAAGCTGTTACTGACCGTGTCCTCCTCCTCAGACCCTCCCCACCCCCTGTGAGAGAGAGAGGCAGGGCCAGAATTTCACAGCCTGATGAGTGGGTGGGAAGTTCGGGGTTCCCTGCCCCCGTCCCGCTCCCCCAAGCCCTGTCTTCCTTTCCCGGCAGCTTATCTTCCCCGACCTGGTGGAGGGGCTGGTGCTGATGAACATTGACCCTAACGGCAAAGGCTGGATCGACTGGGCCGCCACCAAGGTGAGCGTGGTCCCCCTGGTGGGGAGGGCGGGGTGGG